AATTAAAATTAATAATTAAAATTAAAATATGTATACGTAAGTGAAGAAGAATAACGAAACAACAGAAGAAGATACAGTTGTTTTCAAAATCATTCATCAAAATTTGAAAAAGAGGTGCAAAAGTTGTATAGTGCGCACAGGCCGGAAAAGAAAGAGGACACGTCTGTTAAAAAAAATGACGAAACAAAGAAATGACTGGGAATACAAACAAGAAACAGGAGGCAGAGATCCGCGAGAAGGACTAGAAATATGTGGGGATAAATGTATGTGGGGGTACGCATTATACTGAATCGCGAATCGGGTCAGGTCTCAATACTCGATCTATAGTAGATGTAGATGTCGGGCCTATCAATAATGAGTTCAGTCCATCCCTTCCGTCATATCAAACACATGCTCGACAGCACACACTCCTGCGACAATTACTCCTTCGGAATTTCTTACACTAACCGGATTCTTACCTTCAACCCTCCAACACAAAAGAAATCAAACCTGGACCGAACACTATTTCAAACCGGAACCCTAACCCTATACCTAACTTAAATTCTGACTGTTACCGTGACCAAAACTCTATACTTTTGACAAAATAAAGCCCGGAGTAATAACCGTTGTTGCAAATGTAAGATCACCAAAACACAATCTGATCTGAGTGTGAATACAGGATCAAAAATTGAGATAAAAAGATACCAATTTCATCAGCATCAAATAATATTGATGCGCGTTTTTTTGTTAATGTTTGACACGGCTAATGGGCGCCACAAACGTGTTCATAAATGAAGGTATTTAGCGTTTAGAAAAAAATTGGTCAAAAATTGAGATAAAAAGACACCAATGTCATCTTAATAAATCAGCATCAATATTGATGCACGTTTTTTGTTAATGTTGACACGGCTAATGGACGCCACAAACGTGTACATAAATGAAGGTATTTAGCGTTTATACAGCGCATTAAATCATATTTTGTAAACAGGCAAGGTAGTGCTCCGACAACCCCTTGATGCGATTAACATACCCGCGGCTTAGATGCGGCTTCGTGTAGGACACGGTAATGCCAAATTAATGATACTGTGGTTTACTTGCAGAGTAACACGCATAATGTGTTATCTGCATCAACTATCGTACGCCTCGCAAATCAGCGCCAGTTTTATGCAGTAAGGGAACCCATTCTCAATGCACCCCGGGCCGAAAAAGATAATTCATTCGCCCACCCATAGTCTTCTATGACAGACCTTTAATGTGTATTTAAGCTGCCAACCAAGTACTGGGTCAGTGAGAGTGAGCTAAGTAGATTTTCTTTCTGTTCTCGGCTTACCTAGAGAAGAAGGTTATTTTAAACAACAACAATAATAACAACAGCGAGAAAATTGTTTGTATGATATAATGACCCATTTTTCTGGCCTCTTCTGATGCCATACTAAACTTCCCTTATAATTGTTTTCATTGTCACAATAAAGTTGAGTTGCCAAGCATTGTCTTGGGTGGCAAGGGGCAGTTTTACCGCTGCAAAAAGGTACACGGATTATTTTTTTTCTCAAACAATATAAAATGTATTTAATTGATAAAACCATCATAATTATTGAATTATCATTGGCAAAGCAACTCCCAAATCACCAAAAAATATTACGAGAGAGAGAGAGAAGAAAAAAAATAATACAGGCGCCTTCACACACACTACCCCCCCCCCCTCATCCATAGGTTCCGTATAAAAGATAAGATCGACCCCTCCCCTCCCCCTTTTCCCTCACTCTCTTTATCTCTCTTTCTCTCTCTCTCTCGCTACACCACTTGTATTATAAAAGTCACCATCGCGTCTGAATATTGAGACAGTAATAACACCTCAAGGGAGTATACTCGGTCAGAACGTGTGTCGTGTTTCCTTCAAACAGGTACTATATGCTAGGTAGAGCATACCATTACGTTATTGGCCATCTTGTTTTGTTTACGAGGCAACCCATTCCAAACAACAGAGATCATTCCAAAAGGTCATTCTACTCAATACAGGATAATCTTACGGAGCAATCTTCAACGTTGATCAATCGTAACTACAATCCCATCCATAAGTCACCGTTATATGCCGTGGGTAACCTTTACATTTCATTGTGATAATTTGGAGAATATCTTGGAAATGAACATTGAAAATCAACTGGCTTGCTTACTAAAAATGAACGATCGGTAACACTAATTCACCTTTTCCGGTCATTTTACTTTCTCGTGAATATTTTCCAATTCCACTTCAAGAAGAAGTCTATTCGCTTAAAATAGTCAGATAATGTAGTCTTCACATTAGCGTCCATCTTATCTCTCAATATTGGTCTGTTTCTGGTATCATATTGGTGTTACAGGGTATATCCCCGATAAACACAGATCTCCTGTTTCCAATCCTACAAGACAACCTTCGGGTTGAGACGATTTACTCTAATCATAAAACTACTTTCTCTGTCTTCTTTTTAAAAACGATCACTCATTCAACTCCTTTACCCTTCCCTCTACCACGCTTCATTTAAACTCCATCATTCATTCTCCAATCTCTCCACTCCTTTTTATTGAGGTAAATCTTCCTCATATGAATACCGAGGTTCTTTTTTCTCTATCTCTCTTTAGTTCTCATTCTTTCTTTTTCACAAATTATATGCTAATTTATACGACCTTATTTCCATGTAGACATTTTAATATATTTTCCCCTATCATTCTTTTTTTCTTTTTTCGAACTCACCATCCGTCTTCTCACTTACTTCATTTTTATTTACCCTCTTTTTCCCGTCACACTCACTCAAATCACTCAACTCCCTCACTCTTCCATCTCATACGTCTCCATTTAAACTCCTTCATCCCTTCTCCCACCCTCTCCACTCCTCTTATTCAGCTGCCCGTTTCCCAAAGGAACTCCCCTCCTCCTCCTCCATCCATCCGTCTATCCTCCTGAGCCCTTTCTTCCTTTCATCTCCTTGCATTATAGTCACGTATCTGCTCCATCGCGGATGCTCTCCCTTGTATTCTCAGGGCCTCATCGCTCGTTTCAATGCGAAGTCGTGCTTTTGATATGGATATACCAAAATATGAGGATCTCGTCATGGTGATAGAGAGAGCAAATACGTTCTATAACGACTCTTGGTATAACTTATGCATGAGGGCGACGAGAAAATCATCAATACGGCACATGCTAGAATCACTATAGAGGCCTAGTTTGGGATTACCACCGTGTTTTACAAGATGAATCTCGCAATTAACATATTCAAAAGGCTTAGCAAAATAGATTTAGGACAGATTCTACTATCAATCTGGATAAATTCCCCTTCTATTCCTTCCTAGTTTGTATGTACTCGGATTTATACACGTTTACTTAGCGACGAGCTAAACAAAATCACTAATTTCAATTCAATTTCAATTTGTTATTTCATTAAAAAATCACTTACAATAATAATAATAATAATATTGTATCTCAATAGTCATAAATCAAACTAAAGTCAGTATACTTGTTGCTACGTTGGACATGCATTATGCCTTGTTCTACCTAACAACACGCAATGTATGCAGCTTCTATTTGAACTATTACAATACAATTATTTGTAGCAGGTGAATAAAATATTTCGTAGCGAAACACTTAACAAAGGCATTTACGTTAAATTTGATTATATTACGAAAGATTACTTATTAGTCTCCTATTCTTGTCTGAAACTGAATTTACTTCCGGCAATAATTTGCAGCATGTCAGCAACCTTTACATTCAAGTTACAATGAAAACTTGTTCAAATGTGCTAGTTTGTGTCAATTAAGCTAGAAAACAAGTCAGTACATACATGTGTACATTATTGACTTTTAATAAGGGAGTTTACAGATACAATCTGCGCATGGGCAGATAAAGGTCATTTGTACCAAAAAGGTAAAACCCACAGAGATGAATACTGGATATGCGCTCATGAAAGTTATGTAACATTATTCATGAAAGCACCAACGTTACATTCTATAATACGCAGGTGGAAGTATTCTTTTCAAGATGGCAAGCAAAAGGCATTCATGAAGCACATCTAGGACTTTGGCAGTTATTATTCTAATATGCTCAAAGTGGAACTTCTCCATGTGTAAAAGATCTGTGGATATTTGGGGTCATTTGTACCATGTGCTATCTGTAAACTCCCTTATTGAATTAAACTACAGAATAGAAATTGGCACATAAAATGATGATGAAAAGGAGAGAGAGAGAGAGAGACACACACACACACACACACACACACACAGGGAGACGGGGAGCAAGAGAGAGGGAGACAGAGAGGGAAAGTGAAACTGATCAACCAAGATTACGCTACTTTCAAAAATCTCTTTCTATTATTTTAAATATAACATTTTTGTCTTCATTAGACACGTTGACATATGTTTTCAATCGAACTACATGTACGTTGACTAGAGAATGGCCACTTCATAATTATTGCTATTGCTGAAAGTATGATTCTACTGTGTCCCCCAGTGTAAATGAAAAAGTATTTTATCGTAATGTTTAAACGTTTCACAATGTAACGCGCACGAAAATACTTAAGAAATTAAATCTGAGATGCATGGCCCTACATGTTATCAGTGTCTGTGATATGGTGTAATATTGAACCCCGAAACAAATTGCGCTCCAAAATGATCATGATGTGCCTCAAAAAAATAAAAAATCTTTGAATGACCGGTTTTACCAAACTCATTTCCCCAAGTAGACTGTAGAGTAATAAAAGAAAAAAACCGTTAGGAAAACAAGAATCTAAATTTCGATTTCCTACCGTAAATATCTGATCAGACAGGCGATCGGCTTGTAAAAGTCATGGAGTTCCAGTGAAGGACCTAAAGGTTTATAATTATCATTGCAGCATGATCTAAATCCAGGATTTTGTTTCAGAATCTGAGAAAAAGATACCTAATCCATTTCAGGATAATTTTCTTTAAGTCTTTACGATCATTTGTGTATGCGATTGTGGATCAATGTTTAAACTAAATGTCTATATTTATATCTTGTTCATTTAATGCAGAGGGAGCACTTCAGCTGTTGGATGGTGGAACTGACTACCAGGGCGTGTTGCGTATATTCCATAACGCAGCCTGGGGGACTTTCTGTGCTACAGGATGGGACTTCAATGCTACCCAAGTAGCATGTAGGCAACTAGGTAGGTAGATTACTGTTCCTCTAATGGATCAATTCTCTGAGGGTTGGCTTAGCCAAAGAGGGGTGCCTCTTGCACCTCTCAGGATCCGAGACTTCTATTTTACGTTCTATTGTATTGGAATGTACACTTCATTTACATAAAATAATTATGTTGTCTTTTAAGCGACTTTTTAAATGACAATTTCAACAATTACAAAGGAATGGCATTGACGTTCCTAATGAGTTTGTCCTAACAACAATGATATGTCCCTCAAAAAGGAAAATCATAGAATAAGCAACTACGAATTATCGTTAATTGTGCATTGTTTTCCAAACTAAATAACAGTAATTTTGTTCTCCCCGTACACAAATAAATCAGAGTTTTAAAAAGTATTTTACCACGGGATTAGAACAGAGAGATCATAACTGTAAAAAGAGTGTCAAGTCACTATAAGATGAATGAAACACAGAATATGCATCTAGCAAGATCTTTGGCAGCTCGGCTATAACCAGGGTAATGTGCCATGAGCGTCAGAGTCCGGCGGATACCAGCGCTTTATATGAAAAAAGACATCATTATTATTACCATAGGCATTGGAAATATTGACAAGTTTGCCTACATTTGTTGGTATCTAACAGGGTACCCAGGAGCAGCTCTTTCGTCTATCCCGTTCGACATCAAGGCACCGAACGGTGATGTATGGTACCAGAATGTGAAATGCCGTGGTGACGAGGAATCTTTGGAGGATTGCCAGAATGAAGATGGACTCTCGAGAGCTAAATGTCTTCAGGGAGCAGGCCTTGTCAAGATCCAATGCCAAGGTTTGTTTCAAAGGCCTTAACAGTTTTTACCCGTCATGGGACCCGTTGCACAACGACCATGGTAACAGGGCTCAACGGCCAATCAAAATCGAGGTTTACATGATTACCATTGATAGCAAAGTTACCATCAATGGTAAGTTTTGTGCAACGGTGTCCAGGTTCTCTCTGAGGTCTGTAGCCACAAACAAAGTTCGTGTATCATAACATTAGTTGAACCAGAGTGAATGGCAACCATATACCGATAAACTGATACATGTATAGGTAGGATATTCCCTAGATGTTACATGGTCCAAATTTCTACAAACCAATTACCATTTATAATGTACATGTACCTGTGTCCTTTCTCCGTCACAAGCTGCCACTTCTAAAGTTGGATGATAAGAACTAATCATCATGTGTAGATTATGTATATGATTGTGTTAAAACAATGCTGATAATTTTTAATCGCGTCTGTTTCTCCTCTTAAATTCTGTTCTAATTTAAATTCTAGTATTGCATTTTAAACGTTGTTAATCCTACTTTGACCAGTATCTAGCTACCTTTACGTACTGACGAGCTAATAAAGTCACCAATAATATAATATTGTATCTCAATAGTCAGAAATCAAAGTGCATACATAACTTGTTGCTACGTCAGACAAGCATTATGCCTTTCGTCTACCTAACAACACGCAATGTATGCATCTTGCATTTATACAATGTTGATAAATTTCAATCGTGTCTGTTTCTCTTCAAGTTATGTTGTAATTAAAATTCTAGTATTGCGTTTTAAACGTTGTTAATCCTACTTTGTTTACCAGTATCCAGCTACCTTGGCTGTATAGATGTGACTGAAGGATCGCCCGCCCTCACCGGCAAGTCCCACCCCCAGGAAAACCTCAGTGTGGTCTCGTGCATCGAGCAATGCCGCAAAGACGGCTTCCCGTATGCAGCCGTGCAGGCTCCATCTTCCTGTGACTGCGGTACTTATGGCGAAAAGCCAGCCATGCGTGGAGGAAGCCACTTCGATGAGTGTAATGTCTCTTGTCCAGGAGAAAACAGAGAGATATGCGGTGGTCCAGCCCAAGCCAGCGTCTATGATGGTAATTACGTTTACTTCAATGTAAATCCAAAATCTACAATAACAGCGATCTCAACCTTAATTTAAATTCAAATTGCCAAATAAATTGCAACTATTATAATAATAATAATAATAATAATAATAATAATAATAGCCTAATAGTCCACTCCAAATTTTATTAAACCGAAACGGAAATTCTTTTTTGCCCAATTGATCGTGAGCCCGGCAGCCACTGAGCAGCGCCAGATCGACGTTGCTCTATGCCTTATTGTTGAACGCCAAACAAGGTAGCAACAACTCCCATCTTTTAACGTCTTTTGGTATGACGCGGCCGGGGTTCGAACCCACGACCTCCCGGTTGTGAGGCGGACGCTCTACTGACTGAGCCAACACTCCGGTGGGACATCATTAACATTATCCAAATCAATATTTCAAATATATTTCATTGTGATTCTTTAGTTTTCTACTGCTTTTTGTAAATAGATTCCAATATTTATTTAGGAAAAGAGGTAATACCATAATCAATTCGATATTCCAATCTTCCGCTAGTATTATAATCATGAATTAAAAAATAAATTTATTATTGTTTTAATTGAGTTGAATAATTTGGGTATGACTTTTTATCATACAAAAACATAAAATTCACTCAGTTCTAGTTATGGAGAGTATGCACAGAGAGAATATTCATTTTCTTAAAGAGGGGTGTGGAATCACTACAGAAATCTGGATCGTTATCATCTTTACTATTCTTTTTTGTTGTAATGTCAATAAACTGTACAGAAGAAATTTGTTAATCGATCCCCATACAATTATACGATAATTCAAACGATGCAAAATCAAAGTTTTATATAGGATCAATAATATATTTCACGGTTCAAACTTTCTTAAAATAAAATCAAGCAATTGATCAAACAATCAAATAATTATATGCCAAGTTAAAATATATCATAATAAAATGAGTAATGTGATGTATTTAATTGAGGTGAGGCAAGGATTAGTATGTGATATCCAATAAATGACTTATCATAATATCATTTTGTCTTTTGTCACCCCTTGACAGTGAGCCAAGGAAGTTGCGGAGGCAAGCTAGTGGGTAAGAACATCAGTATCGTTTCACCTGGGTTCCCGGGTAGATACTCTGCTGGCTACACCTGTCGATGGGAGGCCACTATATCAGGCAACTCCTATACGACCATCAAGATGCCTGTTCTTAGCCTGTTCGGCGGTGATCAGGTGGTGATCACCTATGCTGGTGAGACCCGTCAGGTGGTGGCTGAGGATACCTTTGGAGAGTTCGTACTGGATGGGGTTTCCAAGGTTGTCGTGCTCTTTACGTCTGAATCTGACTCGGCAGGAGAAGGAGGGTTCATGTTAACACTCACAGGTGAGAACGATCTTAATATACAAATAAAACACAGCATTGAGGGCATTAGTAAGAATTACCCACACAAGGTACCTTTGGAACAGTCTAACACGGTAGCCGAGGGTGTTTGGACTGTTTTTAAGGTACCGAGTGTGTGCAATTTTACTAATGCCCGAACAAAATGATGTGTTTTATTTGTTTTATAAGATTATGTTTCATTTGTTTTATAAAATGATGTTTTATAACATGATTTTACTAATGATTGGTCATTATCCAATTTGCACGTTAGGCATAATAAATGCCTGGTCACGTGTACGCTTTCAACCAATCATTTGAATAGGATCCACGACATCATCTTATAAACTGTCGTATTAATCAGTCTTGCATAGATTGAAAATTAGTCTGATTCGTTAGTGTTTCCATAAATGCATACAGATGTAAATGATTACCACATCTTAACCTAGTTTGAGTAGGTTTCAGGATCAAGCTTTACAGATGGATGAGATGGAATCAATAGGAAAAACATATCGAAGATTAAGTCGGAGGAAGTAACGCTAGTCTGGTCATCAGAGATTTTAATATCTTATCTTCCAAATTAGTACCATGATTACCACCAGTTGCGTAATAAGCAAAAACTTTGTTTAGGGCGGGGGGGGGGGGGGGAGGCAGTACAAACCCGCATCACCACCATGTGGAATACTGGGAAAAAGTGAGAAAAAGAAAAATCATTACAATTCAGCAACATGTTTCAGCAATCACTTGTATCGAATTAAAAAATACCACATTCTAATTTCATTTGTGTGGCAATTGCCCCCCCCCCCTCATTAGTTCACCAGTGAATTCACCGCCTTCCCATGCATGGTCATAACCAATGGTGTTTTGATAATAAATGATGTCGATGATTAACATCATTTGTACATCTTCCACATGATAGTAACTGCCCTTTGAAGGCAAAAATAATGTAGATCCCGAGCTCAGTTACGTCCTAATTAAACTCGAACATTCTTTTCTTCATCTACATGTGTTAGTTTATATTGTCTGTTGACATTACATAACCCATGGCAGTCTCTCTGGTGGTAAATGATGTTCTTCATAATATTTTAAGGTTTCTATATTTTGTCAAATTCGTTCTCCTCCTCCTCGTCCTCGTCCTTCTCCTTCTCCTTCTATGTTCTCAATATTCTTCTCCTTCATCTTCCCCTCCTCATTTTCTTCTTATTCCTCTCCTTCCACTCCTTCTCCTCCTCTTCCTTCTTCCTGTTTCTCCTCTCCCTTCACCTTCCTACTCTTTCTTCTTCATCTCCCAGATGACAGTTACTGCCCACCTGTTGACATCACCAACGGGAGTCTGGTGATCGATGATGTCATGTATCGGCCGCAGGACATTGTCGAAGTGCAGTGCGATCACGGTTTCATGCCATACCGTAAATATGCCACATGCGCCAAGTCTGGAGACTGGTATCCAGAACCTAGGTGTATAGGTACGTATTCAAACTTTAAGAAGTAAAAAACAGAACCAACTAACAAATAATAAAACAAAACAACACAACAATAAAAACGCCTTTTCCATACATCGAAAATCTATATTTTTGCAGTAGTGATACAAATCTAAAAATTCCCCCATTAACAAACATTATTTCACGTGGACAACAATTTAGTATATTATTGGTGATCGAAAATAAAAATATCTAAAAGGAAAGCAAGGATACACCTTCAAGAGCAGGAGATTATTATTACGGCTCTACATAGTTTATTATCAGCCGGCACTCCCATACAACCTTGGCATCCTGCCCATTTATGGCGGGAATCAATTCATAGACTGAACAGAAATTAATTGCAATACCGTACCATGGTTACTCTTTTCGCTGATACAACATACATTACCCTATTCAACGTTCTCAATAGACTAGACTTGTTGCAGAGTGGAGCTTGCTAAATAAATTGGCTCATAACCTCGCCTTTTAGCCATGTCAACAGAACAGACAGAGCAATGGTAGTATTGATTTAACATGTGCAGTAGATTTATTGAGAAAGACAAAATATATACAGACAATAGGAAATATATACTTTTGGGAAGTAGCTACACATGAAGGTGTTTACGTATCAAAATAAAAAATCGTCTGTGAATATTAAATGAACATTTCAGTTATTAAAATAATAATGAGCAACTGGTGAATTTATTGATTAATCAATTGCTATACATCCTGACAAATAAAAAGTAGACTCAATCGATGGAGATCGACATAATGATAACACAACGTAGAGAGGCATACCAATTATGTCCTATTTTTCAAAATATTTATATAATGCAAAATATCAGTTGATCATATTTTTGACACAATCCCTCTTTATCGCAATAAATAGTGACTGTATCTATTTATCACTATTTATTACATTTTATTTTGAAAATTTTAAGTTAATCGAAGATAACCAAGGTAACGATTACTTTCAAACTACCCCAAGTGAAATGTATTTGTTTTTAAATATATAGTTCTGCTTTATCTCCCGTTAAATGTTTTTGATCATTTTCTATAATCTGATTGTCACGAAAATATGATTACAACCTGAAATATTGAAAGATTTGTTAAATAAAAATGTGTCTCATTTAATCTTTGATTAAAAGTGCGCTGATTATATACATGTTGGTATACACGAATCTAACACCCGTTACTGTCTGCTAAAACTGGACATATATTGTATCTACCAATATTATTTATAATAATAAAGAGAACAATCCTCCCCCCCCCCCCCCCCCCAAAAAAAAAAAAAAAAAAAAAAAAAATATATCTATCTTGATCATATTGCTCCTGTGTTAGTCATCTGCTGTTATATAATTAGAAATTCCAGTCTTAATTGTTATTATTATAGCGTGTCAGGTATCATGTGGGGTATAATGATTTTATTAACTATTCGTCTTTTTTTATTTTTCCTATTCAGTGTACAATAAATGGAACTCCTGGGAATTCCGCCGAACGATACTCTTCATTTGTAAGTATCTTCACATTATGAGGAGGAGTTTCGGCACCTCATACCTATCGTTAAAGATAAACTTGAGTTCTGGTTTTAAAAAAACGATGAATTCTCACAGAATCAAACGAAACTTACACTGAATGTTTAAGATTACAAATAAATGTCATGTGCCAAACATTTTTGGAAGAAAATGTATACTGGCTGAGTAATGAGCATAGAAAGATAAGGAAATAAAGATATAGTAGCCCCGAGACCATTAGTTCCATAAACATCTTTATATGTACAGTGCTTGTTACTTTACCAAGACTGGGCCAAATTTATTATGATTTTGATGACTCCAGAACCTTGCAGTTCACACCAATACTTACATGCTACATGATCAACTTTTTCTGATCCATTCCACACCGTTTCTTTCACAATGCAATCGCATTACCAGAACTCACCTTTATCTTTAATTCTGAAATGATTGGAATTGTGGGGTAGGCAAACGTAATATGCCCTAGGAATCGAAGCAGTCAAACCGTAATAATATTTTCTGGGACGACAGTGGAAATGCATACAATTATTTCGCTTCATGAAATTTCGACGTCTTTATGAAACGTGGAAAAGGGATGGAATAGAGAGCCTTTTTTTCGTCTATTGCTTTGCGGTGACATGACGTTATAATAACTACCCCGGGCTGTATATTTTTTTTTGGTCATGAGCGTAGGAGAACTGACATCACTTCAGCGATAAAGTGTTGAGTTAGAAGTTATTTTCGAGCAGAGAAATGAAGGAATTGGCAGAAGAAATGCCAAACATGTATGAACGTACCCTATACACAAAACATATTCATCTATTTGGTTTTAGTATATGATTTGCAAACAGATAATTACAATTCTGGGTGTTTTATATACAACTATTATTTTTGTTTACCCCTTTTTTGTAATGTACTTCATCACATAATATGTTGTTATCAAATGGCCTTATGCCTGCCGTTGTATACTGTACATAAATTAAGGCGTGCCAATACGTTAAGTGCCCTCATAATCATAATGAGGTACTCCCAGTAGCTCAACAAGCATTATCTCTCACTGATGGGTATGATGATAACAGCTGCCATGGTAACACAGGCAAAGGCGCATTGGTAGGACACGTATCAAATTATTAATTAAATATCCCGTCAGCGCTTAATTGGCTCATATAGTTTTAACCCGCGCTGCACGTTTTAAATTGGGCATCTATAATGACTAGGGTTTTCATAAACCTGCCCTTTGCATATTGATAATAACATTAATGAAAAATAATGATGGGGGGAAATAATAGGCAACAGGTAGAAGGCACTTAATACCATGTTTCTAAGCGCAGGCCGCAGTATGTCCATTCACATGCCTCTCTTTCCCTCTATCCACCTTCTCTATCTCTCTCTTTCTCCCTCTCTCTCTCTCTCTCTCTCTCTCTTTAAATGTTGTCCTCTCTATTTCTGCGCCACTTAGTTCTTCTACTCCCTCTCTTTCCTTTTCCCATCACCTTCTCTCCGTGGCTCTCTCTCTCCCTCCCTCCCTCTCCCTCTCTTAACCTCCCTCCCCCGTTCTCCATTCGTCCATCCAAATTCTCGTTTTACCACTTTTCATTTCCCGTCCACATTATCTGTTTACTTCATTTCTGGTGTTTACTCTCCATGTAATTTAGCCATGTAAACAGTAAAGTTGATCTTAATAAATTTACATCTATGATTATACGGTTTAACTTAATCACATAAACAAGTTTGTATTATTATGTAAGGCACAACAAGTAGACCATGGATATTGTATCAGAGATTTTTAGTTTATTTTGGATTTAAACTTAAACACTAAACCTTCCCATTTACTTTACTGAATTTATGTCATTTGTTCCACGAAAGAATGTGGGTTTAAAATAGATTATTACTCTTGAAATAATTTGTGTAGATATTTCTGCTGGCACGTGGAGTTACCCTGTATTTATCACGCTACTATGTCATTATACATGCGTTGTGGTTGATACCGTGTGGTTGATACCGTAATAGTGGCCCTTTCTCACAATAGTGAGTGTATGGTTTGCACTACCATGTGTTCCTATTCTATTGTAAACCGCACTGAATAGAGGGCCATTTGTTGTGCGTGATATAAATCAAACAGCATTGTTATCAAATCAATGAACGTCTGATGGCATAATAACCCAGCCTTGAATTTCACTTGATCAATATCGAAATTAGCCTTTATTAACGACCTACAAAATAAACCAAACACTAAATTATTGTATTAGTTCTGATCCAAAGTGCATGTATATTTCTTATTTTTTAAAAACAGAAAACAATGTTATTTCTAAATTGCTTATGTTTCTTAAATTAAAAAATCGTGTGTAGGGGGGGGGGGGGGTCAGTCATTTGCACATGCTGGACCTTTGAAATCAGTTGCCGGAAGATATCCGCAACATTTGAAGTGCATATTGCTGTAAACATGCTCTCTTTTTTTTCTTCTTAAAATTGCTTTCCAGTAGATATATATATATATATATATATATATATATGTGTGTGTATTTTCTGTTGCCATTTATTTGTGCACATTAGTCATGTGGGGTTGGCACATTTTAAATATGTTTTTGTTCAAATTAATTCGAGAAAGAAACAAATCTGATATTAACTTGAATATATTTTCTTTTCCCTAGCCTTGATTGCTGTATGTGTGTTGTTCTTGATGTTCATGCTGACTATATGCTATTTGCTATGCGGAGACACCAAGAAGAAAAATGAAGGGTAAGTCTTTTGAAATTTATCATTTCTATTCTTTTTCCTTTCAACAATAATTCAAATGAAGCCCGTTTCAATTAGAGTCGAATCGCTTTATGTATTCCCTTTTTTGTAGGTTAAACATAATTTTCTCAAAGGCCTTTTCAACAAAACTTCCAGTAACAATTTAACCAGGGGTATTACAAAAAGACTAAATGCTTTAAGGAATTAAAAAACAACACAATACTTCTATTTTCATTTATCTTTCTCCGCATTTCTTTAGATTCTTGTAATCTTCAAAACAGTTTACATTCTCTGTCTATCGTTTTTTTAAATGTCCTCCGATGAAAATGGTTTTATGTTGCCTGACTGCTGAGAATTTATTGGTTAAATGAGCAAAGTGGACCTATACCGCTTTACCTCATATTCAAGGGACCTAATAAGGATTGATATCTAACCAAAAGTACATTCGTGAATCGTCTTGGAATTGAATACTGTACCTTGCAGCATCATAACCTTTGCTGTTATACCTCTGAGCTATTTCAACTGAAGAATGATGTTCGTGTTTGATAAGAAATGAGAAAAGCTGATTGAATACCTTAAATTCCGTAGGAATTTCATAGCCTATCTATCAAATAATCAACGAGGACAGTTTGCAAATGTATATTATAAACTAGTTTTCGTTTTCTGTCTTCACGCTGCCTTCTCTTAAAGTTTCAGTCTGCTACAAGATGAAAGGTTTGTAGATACAAACATATGCTTACTGGACTCATATCCCTTTGCAGAAACATGAACCTTAAATACCATTTGGACTTATATCCCTCTTGCAGAAACATGAACCTATATCCTGGTATCCCTTTTTGGACTTAATATATTCCTCTTACAAAATGTTGAACGTATATCCTTGTTGGACTTATATCCCTCTTGCAAAAATATGAGCCTTATCTCCCTATTTGGTTTTATTTATCTTGCGAAAATATGAACAGAGATTTAATAACCTTTTTTTGTTTACATTAATCCATTTTGCAGTGAAAAAAAAAAAATGTTTTCTTTTGTTTTCACCCTTGAATAATTCGTATTTATCAGTTCCTTATTTAATCATCCCCTCAAACAAATAAGTTAACTGTGCAGTTCATCTTGCTTTGTTCCCTTCCTATACTGAAAAGCATAAACTTCAGCATATCAACATATATCTCAATGTGTATTGTATACATTTTTTATTGCAAAAAAATCCCTTTAGACTCATTTTGTTGGGATGATAAAGCGATATTATTATATCAGATTTGATTCAGTGATAATCGTCGGGGTGAGGCATACAACCATATACTAGTGGTAAGTGGAGATGCTACAGCGTCGTATTATATTACATCACCATGGTAACAACAATGCCTTGCATGAACACCATTGATTACACTAATTAACATATTTGACGGGTTTTCCAGTGTTTTAAATTTTAATGAATCTATTTTCAAACATCTGATAATAGCTACCCGATGCTTAAAGGCTGATTATTTTGGGGTCGTAGAACACCTTACTTGCAAGTTTAACAAAATGTGTTTTTATCAACGATATTTTTTTTCTTTAATTATTATTATTTATTTTTCTGCCCATGACACTTTGGATTATAGTCAAGTGATTCATGTTTTTAAATGATAGATAATGAATTGAATTGTAGACTTGAAATGAACGCAAGGTAGTTTTACTAATAGAAGCCTATAGTAAATGTGCGGTTTCACTATCAACATCAGAATAGAGTGTCCTCTTATAACAATATTGCACCATTTGTCACTGAATATGCTGAACTAACATACATTTCGAAACATGAACTAACTGACCCGGGTAACCTTTTATCAGTATCTATTTTGTATACATGTCTATGGCTTAGTATAGTCACCCCCCAAAAAAGTGTTCATGTACCCAAAATCTATATATTGCATAGATATAAAATTGATGTTTTATAAGTGTCTCGAACGCTAACCACTCTCTACATCACTTGTAAAGTTTTCAACGCGTTACCATTTGTTCATATGTTTAATAAAATGTCTAAAAAACTAACTTGTGTGTCCGTATAAATTATAAACTCAACAATGATGATTGAAATTCATCGTATTGTATATGTGAAATATCATTGGAACTAAATAGCTAGACATAAATTGTACATCTATATACTTTTGTTATAGATAAATCCACATTCTACCCGTGATTAATATATTAAGTGGGTAGAGCAAAGTCAATATTCGTTTTGTCTTCCCGTAACATTATCCGTGCTAATTGTTATGCACATGTTAACAGCAGCATAGGAAGAAATCCGACAGGTTTCTCTGTTACAATTATAGTATGTTATAAGCTTCAATTCGCTGTATTTTGCCAAAACCCAGCTATTGCTGCTTCGAAGAACTGCGTAGCGTTTTTTTCTTTAGTTGCACACCACTGTCTTAATATGCTTACAAGTCAGATCCCAGCAATACAAATATTAATATACGATTTAAAAAAAAAAATCTTTTAACCACTACTATTGATAATTGGGTAATATTGCAGGGATTTTTGTTGTTAGATACATGAATATTGTAATATCACGTAACTCATATAACGTTGCTTTCACGCAAATGACTCCATTATCAAGTTAATGCAATTGTACTTGAAATTAATTTGTAATTGTAATTATTCATGAACCGTTATCACTCTTCAGCAATACGAACATGCTTTAGACTTACATGTAATGTATTCGTATAACTCTTTTAGAATTCACTATTGATATGGATCTGCCAAATGACGTGTATTGCAATTATGAATAAAGTAATATATAATACAATAATGGCCGTATTCGTTTTCATACCCATATTTTGTTATGATTAAAGACAAACTTTCAAAAGGTAAGTATTTTACTATTTTAAAGAATGAATTCAGATTCAGATTCAGATTAAATTTATTGGTCCATTTGGAAATTCAGTTGTTGGCATTACATAAAGAACATGAACAATGTACAATAACAAATAATATACACAAATATATAATACACAGTAGCAAATGTACATGACATATTCATATGGAAACACGGGTATGAATCGTTTTTACATAGTGGAATGATATAAGAAAATAGAATAAATAAATGAAATTACATCACTTTTGAAAATGTACGATTGCGTAGAATTCGAAAATAGTATTGTTATCATCTGTTTATCCTTTTTATCATTAATATTATAATCATCATCATCATTATTATCATTGTTATTATTATTATTTTTATCATCATCATTATCAACAGTATTTATTACAAGTATCATTCTTTGTCACGGTTATATATTTTTCTTCTTTTTCCCTTCATAAATTAAACTTGGAATAACATACAGTATGATATCATATGGTATTATTTATTTCTTTGCTCGTGATACTGGTACATTTGGTTGGAAAGGAAAGGTTACAATGCAATTGATTAGCGAAGTGGCAAGATACAGGCTTATTCAAATTGACTGGAGTTGTTCATTGTATTTACGGATAAAAAGCGGGACAAAGGAATTAAGGAATCGTGAAGTTCGAGTCTTCATTGATCTGTACCGCTTCCCCGATCGCATTAGGGTATAGCAGTGATGAAGGGGGTGATCACCATTTTCCAAAATCTGGGATACCTTTTTCAGTATTGTACAAAAGCATTCCTTTTAAGATCTGTCACTTCACCAGTCATCTTGCCAGCGTGATTGGATATTCTCTGCAATTTCTTAAGATTATCCTGTCTGCACCCACCATACCAAACCGCACAAATTAAAAGCATTACACTTTCTATTACTGACTTGTAGAATATCCTCAGGATGGTTCTGTCATCAAGAGATACCAATGTTTTCTTATAGAGTTTGAAAGTTATCACTAGAAGTCGCATTCTCACAAAGTTTACTGACGTTTGCATTGAACAGGTTTAATTTAAGGCAGGGCAAATACACGATATCTGTCAAACGAATTTGATATCCAATATAACAGCAGCAAGATGGCGACATCGGATAATGTCGGAAATACATTACGTTGTTCCATATTATGCATATCCATATTTTTGCTAATCGGGATTTGATGAAATTTTACCTTGTTTTTTTATAACGCATTTCTACACTAGATATCGACTTAACCCCGTGAATTGTCAATAATCATATTTACTACACAAAAACAACAATAACGCAAGACGGAATGGCTCTAAATCCAAAGTGGTATCTTTCAAAATATATCCATCTTGTGAAAGAATTTTTTTAAATCGTTTTATAACTGTTTACCGTTTTCGTTATATCTTACCTGTGTTCAGCAGATACTACGGGATCAACACAGACAGCGGGGAGCCACATGCCCATGGCGGGGAGACTAGCCCGTCGAAGGAGGAGTACAAGGCTGTAGGAATGGAAGATGCTGGAGAGGTAGATGAAGAGGCTAGAGAAGCAGTCATTCCTCTAGCTTCAGAGGTTGATGTCTAGTGTAGACACATGTCAGGTACTCGGTTACCATGAGCGCCGATACTATACTCAGCTTTGCTACTTGGCTAACACAGAATGAGTTCCCCAAACAAATACAATATATTATTCTTTCAAGGCTGGGCTAGCAGATTCGGTCATAATATGTACTGGCAGTACGGGTCTAAATGTACGTTTTGAACAGCTAGCTCTACTTTATGACTATGTGAATTGAGTCCGTAATCAGCAAAGGAATCGGACCGAAGCACACGGTGCGTTATTTCAAACTGCACAGAGCTGGTCCAGACCCGGGTCCAGGCGCAATCTCTAGCTACCGAGGCAATCCTTAAATCAGAATGCTATGGCAGCGCGTAAGGTTTCGGATTTTCGACCGAAAACTAGCGAATTATCAACGCAAAAAATAATGCATAAATAACAGAACATTCATGTTTGTAAATAAAATTTATTGCTGGAATTTTCAGAAAAACGAACTAATGTTTCAATTCGAGCTTCAGATAAAAATCCTAAATGTTTCGTCAAATTAATCATCGGAAAGGTGAAGAATTATACTTTTATACGTGTAATAAAACAAAAGCAAAATAGCACTTTGGTATTTTCCCTTTTCTAGAACCCATAATGTAGACTCCATCTTGTACAGTCGGGAACGATATTTGCGTTAATGAATGCAATGCGTTTATAAAAAAAAAATTAAAAATTGTTATAATGCCCCTTGCACACGGGGCATCATTTAATTAAAGGACAGCATAAGCTAAATATGCAGTCTTTTACGCGCCTTGCACGAGGGATATTGTACAAGTAGTGATTTGCAAAATGTGGAGAGCAGACAAGGCGTTGAGCTGTTGCCGTTAGATTTCATTGCCTCCATATAAGGTTTGATTAGGTAATAACGAAATCAATTTAACGCCTCGTGTGCAGCAGGTTTAAAGCCAGAAAAATGCAAGCATATCCGTTGCAAAGCGCTAGGAAGCTAAGAGTACACTTTAGCTATTTTGTTAGATGGGCTTAGCTGTATACATTCATATACTGGTCATGTGTTAGTATAGAGAGATAGGTAATAAACTCAAGAATGACATTGTCATAGGTATATATAGACCATTATTTGATTTCTTAGTCATTATTGGTATGTCTACGATAATCGTCATAAATGTTTATGCCAAACAATTTATGACATGATCTTTTTTTATCGATAGGTGTGATGAATTAACTAAGAAAGAGTAACACAAATTGATACGTTTTGATTTTACTGTGTAAGTTATTAATTATCACTTTGACGTGTGATTTGATAAGATACATAATGTACTGCTCACTCAGCTTTAGAATTAAGATTCAAGGAAAAATTAGAATCTTAGTTAAAGTTAGTTGTTAAAATATTTCTTTAAATGGATCTTTCAAAATCCCTCCCCTGACTGTGGTGTGAGATGAATAAGAATACTGACTTATAAACATATGGACAAGGTCATGACACGTAGAACTTATGTCTATGTCACGACAAAGATTCTAAAGACAAATTGTACACATCGGTCGAGGCGTTCAAAATATTCACACACGTTGTACCTTTAGAACAGTCTGATATAATGTGTAGATTTTGTCTCATTAAAATGACGACGAGAATCCTTGTTATTTGATAACTTGAGAATAGTCACCCATATCCCTTTTATCTACATGTATACATGACTTGCAAAGGTAAAGAGCGAAACGAATAATCGACCAGTCATTAGAAAGTGCTATTGACCGCTTATGCGTCAACACAATTAATGCCTGGACACATGTCTCCTCTAAGCCAATCATTTGATTAGGATTTAGTCGTCATTTTATAAGATTAGATCTGAGCGCTACTATCTTAAACTTCCTCATGTTTGTCTCAATCTTTGAAAAAATAGATATTAGAATATGAAGGTCTAGCGTTAGTGCTAGGCCTTTGGTTTGTAAAGCCATTAGTATCGATTTAATTGACTTATGTACATATAGACTTGATATATAGTAATAGATGTTGAAGGGAACTAGTATTTGTCTGTCCTTGGAACCTATGAAACTTGTAGAAGAAATTACCCAGTCAAATCACAGGAAAATTCAAGGCGAGTGTGATTTTTTTGCCATATTCATTTAAGTATACAGATGTTGAAGGGTGGGTAGTACAGAAACAGACTTACAATTAATTGGTGCTAAGAAATAATGTGTTTTATAAATTGCCTATTTTAGTTGTATTATTAAGTCAATGGAAGTAAATAATAGCATAGACCATTTTACAGTAAGTTGTGATACATAATTGGCAGACGATCTCGAATACGATTGTATTTTTTAACCTTGGGGAATAATTCATAGTACGGTGTCATAATCAAGAAAATTATGTTTGGTCCCTTCTAAGTTTATTCAAAGGGATATCATAAGGATGCAATTAGAGGGCACTAACCCAACATGTTTGTTTTTAATTTATGCGAACTTTTAGTAATGCTCAGTTCATATTCTATATAGATTCTTGGGAATTTGGAATGTTGAATAAACGATGGTTAAAACACAAATTCTTATGCTGCAATGTTGTAAAGACATTTTGTTGTTGAAGTTTTGCACGCATATAGAAAGTGTGACGAACATAATTATTATTAATATTTTACTATTACTCATCCACTTGTATCGTCTTTTCTAAATACATTTATATGGGTGTGTGCTTTGTTACATTTTATACAAAAAGTATGTCTCCTAAATCTACGCACCACACAAGAATTATTTGCACTCATTTTGGTATTTATTTAGGGTATGTATCTATTCATAAAACTTGATAGATTGAGAGATAAGACAGTTGAAAAGTAGAAATAAGGAAACAAAATATTTCAAATTTTGGAAACCTTGCGAATTAGTCATCTTTATAGAATAGCAACATTTCAAAGAATCCCGACCTTTGCATGTCGTTGAATGAAAGTCACACAATGCCTTGATTTATTTACTTATCTTTGGATTTATACTGTTTGAACTAGACAAACCTTGATGGTCTACAAGTATGTTTAACTTAAATAACCTAGTGGTTTCACGTTTATTCCTTTTGATTTGTGTTCAATTAGTTTCATCTCCTTGATGGTATACCGTTTTGTACTTGAATGATTTGAGGAAATTATACTGAAAGTCTAAGCATCTAATGGCATTCACTTTAAACTGCACAAATTCGGATAGGTAAATCAAATAATCCAGTTTCTCAAATTAATTCACTCACATTTACTCTTATAACGCTAGGTGATTATGAAAACTTTTTGTTTTGACGTATCTGTTCAGGTCTAGAAAGTTATTTTTTGATTGAAAGCGAAAGAAAACTTATTTATGTTTTATACATGATTTAAGATATTTTGTTTTCAGATGTATAAACTTATTTCATTAAGAACTAATTCATTTGTATATATATATTTTGATTTCGGGTTAGAAGTTTCAGTGTGTTTTCTCTTTCTTTCTGATATTTCTTGTTCTTCCAATGTTACGTATCTAGTACGGGATTAAACTCTTGAAAGCTAGGGAATTTAGTTTATCCTGAAATATATCCGTTCTGGTTTTAATACAAAAAACATAGATCAGTAACATCTTACCTCATCAAAAGAACATTTTAACATTTTTAAAATTCTACCTGTGAAATCAGAGCTATTTAATGTCTATGTTTATTTAATCATAGAAAGTTTATCAAAATTTAACTGGTTGTCAATACATTTGATATTTTATTCTTATCTTGTACATAGGTGTCTAATGCTATGAATTTGTAAATTTTGATTGTGATGAGATCGGCTTTGAAATACTTCATTACAGCTGCATGCGTTGTGTTGTAAATATCGTTCACGTATAAGAATATGAAATCTTGATGTGCAATGTTTCTAATTATTTGTTCAGATATACTAGATAATGTAGATAGTGTGATTACCATATGATGTTCCTTAAGCCTACATTTCGTGTACACATGTTTACTATGTGCGTTGGTTGTAGATGTCAGTAATATTAGTGAAATGGTAAAAATAAGTCGTCTTTGATCAACTTGTGATTTTTTTTCTGATTGAAATAAGATAGAATATGTTAATATTTATAAAGAGAAAAACACTTGCATTTTTTGTAAATAGATTTCAAGTAGTTAAATTATTGATCTCTTAGGAGAAAGGTTATAATCCTCATTATTTTTTCTGTGTATACTGTTCGGGCTGTGCTAAATCATTATACAATGTATCGAGGTGACACTTAATTCGTACGTTTCGAGGCGTATGACGTTCCGACATATCTGGGAAACGTTGATGAAATCAGCCTAAGTGTAAGTTCCCTGACATCTCGTTAAAATTAACAAGAGTGCAAACGGAATGTCGGCAAACTTAAACTGTTGATGGTTCAGTGAAACACCTCCCTTAAAATTAATCCTTTCTAGACAGTAATTCCATATTTGGTGTTTCCAGAACCCTAACAAAGTTTACCAGATGCAGGAGTAGAAAAGGCAAAAATATCTGCGCACACATTTTCGAATTTTTGCTGCGTAACCATGTAGCGTTTGACGACAGGAAGATTAAAAAGGAAATAAGCTTTAACATATCTAAATTGGCAACACGTTGAAATGGCCAAAAAAATAATTGTTTTTCGATCTCAATTTGCACAACGTGTGAAGGTTTGACAAAGTTCCAACCCATGTTTCTAAAAAAGAATACATTATGTGAGAGCAATATTGCTGTGGCCAACTTTAAGAACAACATGATCAATTTAGCCTCTAACAAATTCTGCCCTGAATCCATCAATGCGTTATTACGTACAAGCTTGTGTTAACTGGTGTCCTTCATCAGGCCGTTGTCTTGACGTCAGCATTTCGATACTTTGATATTGTGTACCTTTGCACACCTAAGACTAAAATTCTCCAGAATCCCCATCTCGATCTTAACTAATAATATGGTCTTGAATGATCTGTTTAATATAATGTCAATTGCACACGAGGCGTTATTTCCATAGTGCCAATGAAAGACATTTGGGCATATAGTTGAATGAAACCAGTCCAAGCGCATAGACGCAAGGCACTGGCCCAACTCATTGACGCATACAGGGTGCTAGAGCTAAATAGCGCAAGGTTTTGGATTTCTACCCCAAAAATCGCCTTCGACGGAATTCTTGCGTAACAATTTTCACAACTCAAAAGGGGCTTACATAATAGTGGTATGGCAACCCTTGTGCATCCGTCATCAACTATAGGCGCTTTTCGTTCACTGTTTGACGCAGCGTAAATACTTTTGAATTAAACGATCCACTGACACAGTTGAAGAGCGTCTTATGTGCAACAGGCATAATGTTTTTAGCGAGATCATGGACTGGCCAGGGTGCTTTTCAACTGTTGTTAAACTTTTCTAGATTATCCGTTATACTGCGAGTTAGATACTCCGTGAGAGATATATTCATGTGAGGAAGAGATCCTTACAATGTCTTAAGATTGCAGTGTATTTATAATTGACAAGATTTGAAAGGACACATTCCCAAAACATTTAGAGCATATTTCCAGTCATGTATATAATAGCTCTAAGCATTTTTTTTGTTTACAATATGTGGGTGTTTCTTCATTCTTATTATAGTTATTAAATAGAAACAAGAGATATAATCACTAGAATACAGTAAAGGTAATATTCTTCTTATAGGACTACAAAAATCGATTAGAATATTTGTTCCAAAATATATCATTTAGTATTAGAGCATTGGACGGCTACAAATTTAGACCCTCTCCATGAAAAACAGAAAGAAGGGAAACAGGTTGACTGTTATGCCGGGAAATCTTGACGATTTATAGGGTCTATATTTTGTTTACGCAAACATAGCCGTTTTAGATTATTGGACAAAATGTTAATCTTGTTGGTGTAATTGTAATTATGCAATTAGAAACTTTTCTAATTTATCTCTTCTTTCTTGATAACACACGAGTTTGCAAATAATAATTATGATTTTGAATTTGTTTTGTGATGATGCTTTGATACCAATAAATGTTGATGTGATCATTTCATTTGTCTCTTGAAAAACGAACAAACGCATTATGATATATCTTTATTTACTGTCAGTCTAGTTTCCTTTGTTACGATAATATATATCAGGCATTCGATTTATCACATGACTTGACATTCAAAACAAAATCGAAACATTTCTGATACATGTATTTAAAGTAACATTTCTATGAAGGCGATGTATTGTTTTGTTAAATGGACTAACATCAGTTCTTAAAGTGGATGAGGATTTGACTGAATTTTTAACCTGCATACTCAGCAACTTTTCGAGTTCCCACCTTCCCTTCGCTTCTCCACCTCCACCCCTCTCTCCCTCCCTCTCTCTCTTCCACGCTCTCTCTCTCTCTTTCCCTCTCCCTCTCTCTCTCTCTCCCTCTCTCTCCCTCTCTCTTCCTCTCTCTCTCCCCTTCCCTCCTTTTCACTTTTTCTTTCTACCTCCCTCTTTCTTTTTTTATACATTTCGGTCTCCTTAGGAGTTCAACTATCATGGAAATGACGTCATTTGTTTTCTTGCTCGTTCTGAATTCTTATTAACATTCTCCTTCTCCAAAATCCCGTTCGTTTTGCACGCAGTGCTTGTGAGCGCTATCTAGTTCTTTAATCCCGACTCCTTTCAAACTTTGTAGGGATAATCTCCAGCATCCCTTCAAGGCCACCTAATTCGTTGTTTTCCAAAATCACCCATGCGTGACCGTTCAGGCGCCATTAGCTGAATTAACACTGCAACCAAAAATCGTCGGTTTTTCTCAAATTCAGGTGTTTCGCCGGTAGTTGCATAGCAAACTACCGCCAGAGGGAACGGGAAATCGAAATAAAAAACCCACTTCTGGGACCTGTTTCACAAAGCACTTTTCCAATGACAAATGACAAAAACCTGTGACAAATCTGCTAATAACCATTTAGAACCAAGGATTTCAATATAAATCATTTTGTTGGAGAAGAGATGGAGCCTAATGATTTTGTACAATTTATGAATTCCTATTCTTTTTCTCCTGTAATATCTAAGCCAACTCGAATCACTATAGAAACCTCAACTTTGTTGGATAATATTTTTGTTAACAGCACATGTGATGATTATTTGTCTGGAATTATTACATACCCTGTAAGTGACCACATGCCTATATTTTGTATTTCTAATCTTATAATGAATTCAAACCAAAATGTAAGGTCTGCTCGAAGTGTGAGGCATATTAACGAAGAAAATATAATATTATTCTGTACTGAATTGAGTAAGGTGAACTGGGAATTCATTTTGAAAAATTCAACTACTGATGTTAACCAGTTATACAATTCATTTTTTGAGGTTTTTGGCTCTATTTATGATCATTGCTTTCCAAAACAACAACCCAAAGATAATCGAAAAGAAAAACGTAACCTATGGTATGATCATTCTTTAAAAAAGCTTTGTCGTAAGAAAAATGCTTTGTATCACAAATTTATAAAAAATCCCACCCATTACAGAGAAGATGTTTACAAGAAACAAAGGAATATTGTAAATAATGCGATTAGAAGTGCAAAACGTGACTATTATCAAAAGAAATTTTATGGTAAAAGAAATGATTTGAAAGGAACATGGCGTGTTATAAACAATATTTTAAAACAACAAAAGAAAATTGAATGTCCAAGTCTTTTAAAAGATGGACAAAATATTGAGGAACCATCAGAAGTGTTGCGAGTTTTTAATGAATATTTTGTTTCTGTTGGTGAGAATGTTGCAAACAATATGCCTAATACTTTAACAGACCCTATTAAATATTTGTGTGGTGATTATCCACAATCCTTATTTTTCACATGTACAAAGGAATCTGAGGTAATCAATACAGTGTTAAGTTTAAAAGAAGGCAAAAGCCCAGGTTACGATGATATAGACACCAAAGTTTTAAAACAATGTATACACATTGTTGCTCCAGTGTTAACTCATATTTTCAATACCTCTATAGAAACAGGATGCTTTCCAGATGCTTTAAAAGTTGCTAAAGTTTTGCCAATATTTAAAAAGGGAGATAAATCTTTATGTACAAACTATCGACCTGTGTCCCTGCTTTCGGTCTTTGATAAACTTTTTGAAAAATTGATATATGCAAAACTTATGTCTTATATATGTAAACACAATATTTTATACAACAGACAATTTGGTTTTCGCTCTGGACATTCTACATCTATGGCCCTACTTGAATTTATCGATCAACTTAATACAGCTTTTGAAAATAAGAATATTGGACTGGGAATATTTTTGGACCTATCAAAGGCATTCGACTCAATCAATCATGATATTTTGTTACGTAAGTTGAAATTTTATGGTATTAGAGGAACTTCTTTAGAATTGATACATAGCTATTTATTTAACAGAAAGCAATTTGTTTATATAGATGGTGTTAACTCAACATTATTGACACTCGCTGGAGGTATTCCGCAAGGGTCAATTTTAGGTCCATTAATTTTTCTATTATATATTAATGACATTCAATACGTAAGCCCAAACCTTTGCCCAATCATATTTGCAGATGACACAAACCTCTTTGTGTCTGGTAAAAATATCTATGAAATATCAACCATAATTACTTCAGAAATACCAAAAATTGAGTTGTGGTTTTTGGCTAACAAATTACTTATAAATTAAAAAAAAAACCAATTATATGATATTCAAGCAGAAAAACAAAAAACTTTCAGGTCAAATCTGTGACATTAAAATTAATAACTATAATATATTACAAGTTTCTAATACTGTATTTCTTGGAGTGACACTTGATGAAAATCTTACTTGGGCTCCACATATTAATAATACCCGCCGGAAGATTTCATGTGCAATAGGTGTATTATATAGAATACGACACTTGATTCCCCTAAATATATTGATTAATATCTACAATGCAATCATTCTTCCTTATCTGTCCTATTGTACTTTGATATGGGGACATTGTGCAAAAACTGTAATGAATCAAGTTTATGTTTTACAGAAAAGAGCACTACGTGCAATTACAAATTCTCACCCCAGAACCCCATCTGAACCGCTTTTTAGGAAATTGAATGTACTTACCATATTTCAAATACATGAATTGCAAGTTGGATCATTTATGTATATGTACAATAAGAATATGTTACCTTCTATTTTCGATAATATGTTCAAAATAACAAAGGATGTTCATCCTCATTACACAAGACATGCTAATGATTTATATATTCCATTGTTAAAATACCATACTTCACGTAGATCAGTTAAATATTCCGGAGTAATTAGTTGGAATGCAATACCTACCCATATAAAAATGTGCCCATCTGTTGCCTCATTTAAACGTAAATACAAGAACTATTTAATGAAGGAATTCCTATCGTATGCTTAATTCAATTAGCCTGTACTCATTTGTTTATTTACTTACTACCCATTGTTTTTTTTTGTTTTTTTCTCTGTACTTTGTATTATTAGCTGAGGACACTGGAGCCCAGTCTTTGAAAGGCCAATGGCCTCTGCTGGCTCCTCCATATTCTTTGTATTATTTATATTTATATATTTGCTTATATGTATAATGTATTGTTAAATGTATTTTTATACGAGAAATGGAAATAAAATGAACTTGAACTTGAACTTGAACTAGCAAACTACTAACAAAAAAAAAATTGTCACTGATGACAAGTTTTGCGAAATAGGGGTCCTAAAACCATTCAGTTTATGATGTAATCAAGTTAGAATATGTTGATTGATGTACTTTTACCAGTCTCTTTTTATCATGCTTTGTGTGGTTTTGAATAAAAATGAACTGAACTGAACTGAACTGAACTAAATCGTATTTTGAGAGAAAAATTGCTATGATTTATTCTGGATCGTTTATCCTGCAGTAGATTGGTTGTTTGAGCCAGTGAAATAACAGCATGCGCACGAAAACGTACTGGGCATCATCTTTGCTAAAAACCACAACTCCCATTTGCACATAGTGACATTGTGTCGTGCCTACTTATCCAGATTTCCTTATCTTTCTATGCTCATTACTCAGCCACTTTTCATTGTCTACCGAAATTGGCACATGTCATTTATTTATAATCGTGATTATTCAGTGTAAGTTTCGTTGAATTGTGTAAGAATTTGTTTTCTATATTTAACAGAACTCAAGTTTACCTTTAAAGCACCGAAAACGATATATTAATTATATAACAAAAACGACACCATTCAGATCGATAGTTCTCTGCGCGAAAACTACCGCTGATAAACATGTAAATTAATTTTGATTAAACCTAAGACAAGCTCGATTATGATCAGTATGTCAATTCTAGGAAATAAACGGCATCAGAATAATTAATTGAAAAAATTATCTTTATCACTATATGGAAAAGAAATGCGTCATTTATGTGTGGAACATGGATTGACATTTATCAAGTACATTGATGTAAGTTAAATGAACAATTGACAACAAATATCACTTATACTGTGTCACGGTTGATAAATGCGAACGATTTGTGTGAATCCTTTTGCCCATTGTTGCATCAGTGTGACGTCAGTTCTTTAAGCGTATCTTCAGTGATGTAATCCTTCAAGCAATCGAGCGAATACTTCCACAGGAATTCTTGCTTGTCTCTGTCTCTAAGTATGAAGAGTCATAAAGAGAAAATTGGATGCCGTTAACTAATTATGCAAACGCCAAGAATTATTAATATGTGTAAGAATAATTTTAGCAACAAATATATATTGTTAACATAAAAAACTAAAAAGCCAAAATAAAAAATTAGTAATTTAATTCAATTTGTAAATTTACAGAAATGGACTCAAAATGATATTTGCACTTTCTGGTAATCTACAATTTGCAATGTAGGGCATTCTGGATATAAACAACAACAAAACGTCACTAAACGACGCTATACTACTATTGGTTAAGAAAAAAAAATGAAAGCATTATTTGGACTGTTCTGTATTTAACATAAAGGACACAAAAAGGGTGGAAGCTACAAAATAAAACTTACGTGGCTAATGGGTTCTGGAGACTGGTTGGTTGTGAATTCTCGAGATAGAGCGCAGTTTTACCATCGTACTGCGGGTTCACAGCCGCGTGGATTGTCGTCAAGGCTCCGTCAAATGAGTTTCGTGCCAGCCCTGACCGTGCAGAAAAAAAGAGGGATACAAATAGTAATCAATAAATGACAACAATAAAAAAAAATATGAAGCACCTAATGCTCACATTTTTAAACGCTAGTCTATCATTACCCCGGCACGAGCCGAGCCACCCTGCTAAAGGTGCTTTGGTAGAAAATGTAGATACATGTCTTGCTAAAAGACATTAGTGCCGCGGCGGGACTCGAACCGAGAACCATGTGAATGACAGTCTGGTGACGTATCCACAAGTCTACGACATGGTGTTGTAGTCGAGTGGTTAAATAACATGAATGCTAATTAGTGCGTCGGCACAGTCATGGCGGGATTTACGTCATTACGCAAAAAACTGTATCTGCATTGCTCCTGTAACATTGTAATCGATAAAGAACAATACAAGAAATATATTGTTTTCTGGGCCCCCATAACACGAAGCTTAGCAATTAATCGTACGATTGGTTGCATTGGTGACTCTGTGCAATCAAATGCAAAACTCAGTCTTTCCATCCACTGCCAATCTTTGTGTTACGGGGGCCAGGTTAATAATATCATTGTCGTCATATATATAGGAATATCATATCTACGGTCGAAATATATTTTGTCTTCCGGTCTATGCATTTTCTGCTAGATGAAGAGGGAACACTGATGAACACGTTATTTCGAATTGATAACACCCAAGAAAAGCCTCATACGATCCGTAAGATTTTTCAAAAGGCCTAATAATAATTGGTATCGTACATAAAGAATGGTTAGCACCACTCTTTCTCTCTTTTGAAATCCGAATACACAATTAGTCCAAGTACCTGTTTATCAACTATCCATACCTACGCTCACTGAATTATACTCACCCATTGAGTTTAGCATGCCCACAAAAAACTTCATGGAACCAGATACCTGTTGGTTCTCCCTCTTAACGATATCTGTATCGACAAAACCAGGGTGCAGAGAAAACACGCCGATTCCAAATCCATCCAGCTTCTCTGCTAATGTAAACATCTCCATAATCTAGGTATAACAAAATAAAAACGATTTAACTCTTTAGAGGTGGTTTAAGCATTTGACTTGAAATACAAAGGTCGTGGGTTCGATCCCTGACACGGCACTATTGTCCTTTGGCAAGGCATTGATCTACATTCGCCACTCCATACCCAGGAGAGGAATGGGGACCCGGTAGGGTGACGAAAGCCTTTGTTTTAGTAATTGCCATATGCCCTCAAGGTGACCATATAGTACGAATACTCCCCAGGGAATAGAAATGGTGCACATTGTGCGTGAATTAATCTGATGACCGGGGTGATATTATCTGCAAAGTGCTTAGAGACGACATTTCGTATAAAGCGCTATATAAATTCAGATTATTATCACTATTACATGCTTCGCGAACAGTCCTCCTGTGTCGCACTGTATTTAACTTGGGATAAATTTACCAAAGGCTTAAAGATTAGTTAAGTCGTTTTCATTGCAAAATTAATTTTTACTGGTGTTAAAAAGGGTTGTAATGACTCTATCTGGAGCTAATCGAAACCGGTAATTTGCAAAGCCATTGAGTTGCAAAAAGCAATTCTTCCTCTTCAATTGGTGTCTATTTGTGTGCGAAATTGCCCGTTTTGCAATTAGCGACCGTCCAGGGACCTGAAGAAAGCGACCAAAGTGTTAAAGATTAAGTTTAGTTCTGGTCATGCAATTGCATTTTAAAACAAACTGTGCTACAAGTCAGATGCACTGTATACAGAATTGTGCAGATGGGGGCTACACAAACATTTGGCATGAAAGTGAGATCCACAAACTTTAGTTGTTACTTATTATTATTATTGTTATTATTCTTACTACTACTATCATCATACATGTACGTGCTATTGGTGGTTATTTTACCTGGCAGCTAAGAAAGCAATAAATGCTTGTTGGTAAGCAACCAGAAGACCAACGGCTTAAGGTCCTCTCCGAGGGACCTGGTAATGAGAATTAACGCCTTACCAAAGGGCACTAGCGCATCGACTTGGTTTCGAACCCAGGTCACCGGATAACGAGACCACTGCTCTACCGACTGAGCTACCGCGCCTCCTCCTCCTCCTCCTCCTCCTCCTCATCATCATCATTATTTGACACTATTTTTGCTGCTTCAATTTTTTCTCTCCAAACAAACCTGATAGAGCTTGGTGCTTCCATATTTGGACAGTTGGCCTTTGTTGATCGATTGCATATTGTCTTCGTGCCAACCAGCACCGCGATAAGCCATAGACGAAACCAATATGATCTTGGCATTGCCCCTGGAAGCTTTTAACACCGGAAGTAAATGGAGAGTTAGAAGGAAGTGCGACAGGTAATTGACCTGGAAGTGGAGCTCAAAACCGTCAGCTGTTTTGACTGTGTGAAATACAAGAGCAGGGGAGACCACCTCATCAAAATTGAAGACTAATTATTAAAACAAAAAAATCTGAATAAATACAAATTGAAACCGGTCATAGTAAAGAAGAGAACTCTCGAGGATTTTCATTTCAATTGTTTTAATTATTATATATATATATATATATATATATATATATATATATATTTATATTACATTTTTTATTTACACGCCGTGTGGAAAACAAACAGTTTAATTAAGATAAGCAGAAGCATTAACAAACTATATTTGCAACTTCATTTGTAAACCAGTTGTAATCAAAATAATAACATATTATAACATTAATTGCAGGTTCATTCATTTACGATAATCTGATGTATGGACATCATATTGCAATGACGAGTATTAACGTAACATGAACGGTACAAAAGGGTATTCAAATTGAAATAATTTCGCGAAAGTCTATGCGATCATATTTTACCTTCCCCTCCGTAGGCCATGCCGGCGTTGCACACTAGGATGTGAAGCGGGAGCCCTTTGGCTTTGAACTCCTCTACGAAGCTCATCGTGCTGGCGATTGACGAAAGGTCAAGGGTCATGAACTCGACATCAAGGTCATTGGCCTGTTGAGGGAAAGGAAAGACTAACTGTGACGTCATAACTGTGACGTCATAAAGATTCGAAAGTGACTGTGATCCGTTATGGCTATGGAAACTATTTGCATGTTCCAATTTGCATTTCTCACGGAATAGTTACGAGGGGATTCAAGATTATATAAATGTTTTAAGTGTAAAATTAATCTATGAAGGTTGTAGAAGGATTGTCCTGTAGCTAAATGAAGGCCAGAAATGGATACTTTAGCAAAGCTTTGATGTTGCTCAAAGTAAACCTTCTGTCAATCGATACCTATTGTTTTGTGCAAACCGACACTTGGCAAATAAGCGACTGTGCTAATTGGCGCTTATTGCAAAGGAAAGGTTGAGTGCTTACACAAATGTCTATATTATCAAAACCAGGGGATGTGTTTATAACAACAGCAGCTTCTGAGACGATATCTGTAAGTTTTAAAATAGGCATGCAGAGAAGTTTTTTCTCCATTAATGTGTCTTAATTTAAACTAGAAGTAAACATTTACATCACTTCCCAACACTCTTATGTAAAAGAAAATAAGTATCTGACAAAGAGACGATAATCAAATGAAATTGACAAAAAGGGAGGTACAAATTGTTCACATTATCATATGGCGAAGTACTGATTCAAGGGGGCGTGTGCCTCCTGAACCACTACCCAACCCCCCCCCCCCCCTCATCGACAAACCATATAGACTATACTCGTGTGTATTATGAATTATACCTCACTTTAAAAATCTGATTGGTCGAAATTAGAGTCGTGATTTTAACCATGCCCCGCCTACCAGTCAATAGTCTTTTAAAAAGTGCCTTCGTATTTGCCCATCAGTCAATAGTCTTTCGAAAAGTGACCTCATCCTGCGATCCCCTTTGGTTTACGTGTTAATTAATTTAGTTTGTGCGGAGCGCGGTTACCATACATTTTTTGTGCGAGTAATTTGGTTGCTATAAACACAGCGCGGACGACCACCGATCTCGATTGAAGTAAGGCCTAGATCTACATGTAAACCTGTTTTTTTCATATGAAATCTCATTTTTTAGTATCACCTTCAGGATCACAAGCAATAAAGGATTGAATCTCGATTTGGAAATTATTACATTGACCAATGTTGCCTGATCGCGCAATGCACGTAGACTTGCATAGGGATATATGCGTGCAATCTCAATGGGAAGGATTTTAGCACACAAACATCGAGTGCGCCATAGTAAGCTACCTGCAAGTTTATCAACACAGACCTCGATAGCGTAAACAAACTTGATTACCATGTTTGACCAGTAAGTCGCACATGTCTTCTATGACCCTTTTTTCCGTATATAAAAGAGATTTAATGACTGCTTTAATATTCGGGGAATAGTTGTTTTATAGGCTCTCGAGGATGTTGCATCCTGATATCACCCCTCGGCACGCCTCGGGGTGATATCAGGACGCAACATCCCCTTCAGCCTATAAACAACTCATAGCAGTCATTATATCTACACTATTACTATTATGTCGGTGGTTTTAGTTACCTTGATTTCGACCTTTGACTTCTTGTCATCAGCTTTCTCCTCGCTGTGTTCCATTTTCATTCTCTCCATTGCCTAGGAGAACAACGACATCTGAAATTAGTTCTTTCTTTACAAACAGTGGAGAAAAAAAACTATTTTCCATGAGAAACTTATTTTCTTTGATTGGTTAAAACGGAAATACATTTATAGAGGTATGTCGTGGTAAAGTGGTTCATTCAATTGATTCTCAATCCAAGGGTCAAGGGTTGGAATCCGTCCCAGCACTATCGTCCTTTTGAAAGACATTAAAGGCACACTGCCATACTTGTAGCTACTTGCTCCCTCTATATAGAAAACTTCCCTAATCGGTGCCTGTTGGTCCCCCATGATCCTCTTTTTCTTATGTTAAATGAGAGCTGAGTTAATGAGATAGCCACCTGTCACAGTGACCTCGATGGCTCTTTGTGTGGTCTAATCCCTCCTGGCCCAGTAGTGGTGACGATCTTTAATATACGTTTGCCATTATTAACCAAGATGTTAAACGGGTAGCCGGTAGGATGCGAAAGTCATCGTAATTTGTGTAGAATGGTGAGCGTCTGTTAGATGTTTCCTGACTGGAATAGCGTGCTCCCCAGGGAGTGGAGTATGGCAGAATAATAATTCCGTAACCAGGGTACTTATAATGCTATAATTGCCTTGGTCAGTTAAAGGTAAAACCCTATAAGTAAAGAAAGGAGATATCACTAGTTAAAGCCCCACTTACTCGCACACACGCAAGCGCGCACCCTCACGTACATCCCACCCTCGCACATGTTCCTTTGAAACAGATATCATTAGGCGGTGTCACACAGAAAAATCCCGACCCATCTTGAATTAACCAGATTTTAGTAATCTAGTTTTTTCATTTACGTCGGTGACAGACTGGTGACAGACAGGCTACGAATGATCCGGATAACTAAAATCCGGATTTTTTTGATGGGCCATTGCGCATGTGTCGTTTAGGTAGATAAGCATTGTGACATCACACGTTCAATCATTAAATGCGCGCTAATATGATTGTGCGCAGGTTATGATAGCGCGTTAAAAGCCCTATACCAGCCAATCACGTTTAACTTACACTGACCTTTAAAGGGATTATTTCAACATTGGTGTCAGACAGAAAAATCCCTTAAAAAAACCCTTGAAAAACCCATTCAAGAGAGAATTATCTTGTCTCATATGAGGATATTTGAAGGGATAATTGGTGACAGACAAACAATTAAGAGGATAAATCCGGATAAATAAAAATCCGGATTTTTGGCCTCTGTGTGACACCGCCTATTATTTACAGAAACTTACATAAGGAGATTAAACTCACTTACTTCATTTGCCTTGGCTTCGGAACGACAAGCCACAATGACCTTTGCCCCCAGCTGGGCTAATGTTTTTGCCGTCTCATATCCGATTCCTGATATCAAAATAAAATGACAATAGAGGGGACAAGGGCTGAATGGTAAAGTTTTACAATGATCATTTTCGATACGTGACAAAATGATGTAGATCCGAAGAAACTATTTTAAAAAATAGATTTGGAGCGAATACATGTTAATTCATGGAAGAAATAAAAAGCAGTAAGAGGCTAACAGAAACTTCAGGAATGCCATCAAATTTGATGGGAATTCGGTGTTTTATTTCATGAAGAAAACAAATGACGAGTGGAAGCACTGGTATTTTTAAAGGGTATAGTTACCTAGGTGAAAGCGTCCACAAAAACAGTCACGTACCAATCGTGTTCAACCCATCTCTCCGAAATGGGGACAAATATGAGAGCCAAGTAAGGATAGAATTACCATTTGGTTGCTTTCCTCGTCTCTCTGCACAGTCGCTCCTTTGCAGCATGTGCCATGTTCCCCCAACACAATTAAAACTAACTGTGAGGAAGTAATTGCTTTGTACAACACAATGACTAAGCAAAACAACCTTTTCCCGATCTTAATAAGCTTTAAACACCCGCAGAGATTAAACCTTAAGTGAAGACACTTAAAGATAAATTTGAGTTCTGGTCATGCGATTGCATTGTAAAAGAAACGGTATGAAATTGATCAGAAAAGGTTGATTATGTAGCATATATGAAGCATATAAGTATTCGTGTGTACTGAAAGGTTCTGGAATCATCAAAATCATAAGAAATTTTGCACAGTCTTTGTTAAGTAACAAGCAATGTACAAAGAAAGTTGTATATGGGACTATACAAACATGTGGCATACAAATGAGGGCCACAATTTTAAAATCTTGCATGTCATATTTAGAATATGAAGGAATCCGAAGGGCCATGCTTTTAATACAGGAAACAATTTTTTTCTCTGATGTTCTTCTACACTTGCATAATAATTATAATAATAATGCTCACAAATTATTGTTTACCTCTCCCCCAGAACTCATAGGTCCATCCTACTCTTAAAATGAGTTCGTTTGAATGATCGCTATAAAGCTTACGCGAACCTCAAATTGGCAATTTGTTAAGTTGATTATGACGTAGTGACAGATAACTCATCGTTTATCGTGTACAAAATTATATGATTGCAACTTTTCAAAAATTATATTAACTCTCTCATTTGTTATCCAATTTTTGTTATAAAGAAGTTTTCTATCAAAGTTAATTTTTCCTTTACGTAATTGTGAAGCCTTAGTGCATCTATTCCAATGATAATTGACATATGGAGATTATTTCTGTGGCATATAAATAGTTGAATTCGAATAACATACCTGTGTTTGCCCCAGTGACAATTACGGTCTTCTGAGTAAGATCGACGTCCGGAACAGGTTTTTGTGACGTCCAACTAGTACCCATCGTATAGCACAAAGTGTTTAAAATTGAGAACGGAGATGTTTCACTTTATATACGCGATGATTTACTGACTCGTATCTGATTTTAATCCCGTATCGATGTCTATTCAGTAAAGAAATTAATTTGGGCAGAATATATATAATGTAATGCTGAAGTTAAAAAGAGCGAAATACGCGGGAGGACCACAGCATAAATGCTATGTTTGTGTCGGCTCCGAAGAGTAATACTATGTTACCCTAGCGGAAATGAAAATGAACAGCACAAACATAGTACATGGACTTTGCACAATAGATTGCACATGTATCTGCCTTAACTCTGAAAATGTATTCCGGAGTATGTGCATTCCAATTCTTTTCATACATGAATTTCAGGGTTTTGGATCGCTCTTAATTGTTTAGAATGCAGCGGCGCGTCACATAATATTTCCAGAAGCATAACACAGTCGTACTCTATAACGCAGAAGCACTACAGGGTACGAGTACGTATTGAAGGGATCCGGTAAAAAAATCCTTGATTTAGCTCATGCTGCAGTGATAATTATAAACCTTTAGGTCAGTCAGGAACCCCATCACTTTTACAAGCCGATTGCCTGTCTGATTATCAAGATATTTATGATTGAAAATCGATATCAAATTTGCGTTTGCCAAACGGTTTTCATAACACTACAGTCTATTGGGTAACGAGTATGGTAAAACCGGTCACTCAAAGGACTTTAAATTTGTAAGGCACTTCTTGATCATTTTGAAGCGCAGTTTTTTTAGGGCTTCAATATAACATCATATCAAAGACACTGATAACACGTAGGGCCTTGCATCTCAGATTTAACATTGTTAAACGATCCCTTTAAAGTCCTTTCTACAAGGTGGCCATGTCTTGCAGCCAAATGTATTGGTGCCCCCCCCCCCTAACGCATATTTCGTTCCTATATACCATGAATGTTGTAAGTTTACTGTATTTCCAATGATACGCTTCAACTGATTATTATGCCAAGCAGATTAAAACAAAAGAGAGGGACAAATAAGTACATTTTTATTACAAAATAACTATGCCATAGGGACCTCTTCCCCAATTATTAGCACCGATGTTTGCTTAGCTTCCCTTTAGCATGAATGTACCTCATATTTTCAAAAAAAATCTCAAGAATAATGATTTGTATATAATGTTGGGGCTCCGACACAACGCCCCCGCCTGGGGCTCCTACTGTGATATCGTTCTGTAGGTCATAAGAGAGCTCTGTACCAAAACAGGCGGCCGTATAACCACGAACCAATGTGATCTTACATTATATGTAACATGGGGCTCCGGCACAACGCCCCGCCGCCCCCAATCACACATATATGAATAGCTAGTATGCAGGGGGCTCCTACCCTAACATCGTTCAGCAGTGCCTAAGGAAGACCTGTACCGAAAATTGCGTATGTACAACAAAACCTTAAATTTATTTTACCATATTTTTAATTTGGGGGCTCCAGTACGACGCCACCGCCCAATTCACACTTATATGAATATTTTGTTGGGGGGAGGGGGGCTTCAACCCTTACGTCGTTCAATAGATCGTAATGAAGCCCTGTACCTAGTTTTTACAACAACAAATCAATGTGATATTACCGTATATACGTCGCCCCCCACCCCCGAATATTTATATGATTTATTTATTTTTGGCCGGGGGCTCCTACAATATTGTTCAGTAGGTCCTAAGGAAGCCATGCACTAAAAATGGCGCCTTTATCAGGCATGTAACGGTACTTTCATTAAGCTACATGACTACAATGGTGTGTGGCTGTCGCGTCAAAACGCACTACGACTATGCGAAAAGTTTATTCTCACGTTGTTATGTAATTGCCATGGAACTAGATTTGTAATGATTAACTACGAGATGTCTAACTAGCTGGACCATGTCGGCAATCCAATACACAAATCCAGCTTATGCCTCTACAATGTCTAGACTGTCTAGACTCCAGGCCTACAATGTACTTTTGTCAATAATAAGAAGTCACACAAGCACACACTATCCCGGGGATCATTTGCGCATAGCCTTGCCAAGGTCGGATGCATGGGGGTAAACAGTTACGTACATGTACATTGCAGAAAACATCAAAATAAAAGTTGATTACCAGGGTCTCGCTTATAAACAGTTGGGATTATTCGCAACTTATTTGCAATTAATATAATTTATATCGCAAGTACGTAGATAAGAGAGAAGCAACTACAAACTTGCGATAGATTTGAGGAGTTACGATTGATTAGGCGCCCTGGATTGAATGCTTTGTTACTACACTGTTGCTCATAAAGTTGGAATATATTTTGTTTACAACTTAATGTACAATAAATAAGACATTACGCGTTTTTTATCATAACTATGGTGTACACAACCATAATGTGTTATTGATAGATTCCTTCAAGTCATATTTCAGTGAAATTAAACTACAATTACCCTTTGCTAAGGGTACCAATTAAGGCAGAAACAAAAAAAGGGATATGGAAACAACAAACTAAGGATTATGTTACAATGTTCAAAATTGGTCGGCATAACAAATAACAAATATTGAAATTAATTCTATGCATGAAATATGTTTGTTTTTTCTCTTTCAAATGTAAATCAGTCACTTATATCGGGTATGACCACCCCTGACAAAGATCAGTGCGGCATGCTGTCAATGGCCAGAGCGTCCTTCTCGTCGGTGAGAGCCTGAGCTAACTCCTGTATAGTTTGAGGAATATTGTCCCTGTCATTGATGGCTCGGCCTAGGGCGTCCCATGCATGTTCATATCAGGGGAGTAGGCATGCAGGCCATAGCCAGAGCCATGTATACACAGAGTTTGGCCAACTTGGTTTCACTGGGTCACGACATTGCGTATATTCTTTTGTTTGTGCTTGCCCGACAAATTAAGCAGCAGTTGCCATATTGTGTCAAATTCGAACCGGGTTGGCCAAACTCTCCTAATCAATGGCACTGGCCATGGCAACTGCTGCACCCCCTCTGCGTCAAGGAATTCTCTCACTGCAGCTGCTCTGCGTGGCCTAGCGCTGTCATCCTGTAGCCAGAAATTGTTTCCATAGACCCTTCTTGCGTGTGAAAGGCAGTGGTTCTCCAGGATGTCTCAGTTTCCATCCGGAACTACCAGTGGCGTTTTTCCGCCTTAATGGAATCCGGCACATACCATCACGGAGCCGTCACCACCTTGAGTCGTTTCCTGAACGCAGTCATCTCTTAGGTTCTTTTCAGGTAGTTGGCACATCCGTTGCCTTCCACCTGTACGCGCAAGGACGTACTCGGCTCTAATCCATGGAGATGACATCCCGCCAGTATCCTAGCTGTAGTCTTCTGTGCTCCCTAGCCCATTGATACAGTATATCTGTTCAAAATGAAAAAATCATTGTTTATTATTTAGCAAAAAAGTGGGAAATTAAATTTCACGTCTTTTAAGCATTATTTTCATTTTTTTAAAGGTCAGAACGAAATTCACTACCTTTTTTTAATTAATCAAAGCTTTCTTTATATAATTTCAGCTAATTTTTTTATTTTTTTAATTAAAACAAAATCCCTCCCTCGGACAGGTTTTCTTTCTCTTCTGATTGTTCTGATTGTTCGAGAACGCATATGGATGGCGCCCCAACGCTCACTGACCCCCCCCCCCCTATATATATATATATATGGCACTGGTCCTGATTTTAATCATCATATTGATTGAAGGATTTTATTGATAATTATCCATTCTCGCAGTCCAAAGACTGAATTGCAATGGTTACAAAAGTTTACAATGTATATACATGATAAAAGCAATTATACAATAATATATTAAAACAGTCTAGGCAATCAACATTGAAATACAAATAAAAGTGATCAAATGACAACTATAATGGCAACTATCATTAATATCAATTAATAAGCATGAAATTCTTAACTGAAACATTCTAAAAATATACTATTGAAATTAATCATTAAAACCATTACTATTACGAATATGGCATGCCGAAGGGTTGATTTTTTGTCATTGGTAAAACATATTGGAAATCTTGAAATTGGATTTCATGATGGATTAAGAAATAAAGTGAATTACATTGCAAATTCGCGAAGAATATTGAAATTTGTTGATAATAAAAAAATTAAAATAAACATTGCACTGGCTAAATACTAGGTGTTCGGTGTGAATTCATTAATATTCAAGTATTACTCGTTCTTTAAAATTCAATGCTATTATTACTATACATTTTAAATCACAATTGAATATGAAATAATTGAAAAAATTGATTTAAAAATTCAATGATTAAATACCTATTGGCTAAGTTCTAGGTGTTCGGTGTTAATTCATTAATATTCAAGTATTACTCGTTCTTTAAAATTCAATGCTATTAATATACATTTTAAATCACAATTAGATATGAAATAATTGAAAATATTGATATAAAAATTCAATGATTAAATACCTATTGCACAATAACTGGCAAATACTCCCCACAAGGAGTGTATTACATTTTATATTACAGCAAAGTGAATATCAGGCATACAAAATAATTGGCATCAGAAAAAATGTTCGTTCAGAGTCCTTACCAAGTAAGGAAGAGTGCTGTGTCTCAGTCTTTCTGTTCGGCATTTAAAGTCTCTCAATCTATCACTGTGTCTCAATCGTCGATTCGTGCTCTGCATCTCTGGAAGCCAGTCGCGAAAGTGCTTGTAGAGCGATTCTGCGAACCTTAGGCACAGATGTTCCCTTCTGTCAGAGAGGGATTGCAGACCTGAAATCTGGAGGGCATGTTCATAGCTGTGGTATCGATCATGAAAAATGATACGGAGGGCTCTCCTCTGGACTCTCTCGATATCATTGGCCTGTTCAGATGTAATGGATGAATTCCAAACTGGGACACAGTACTCAAGCACAGGTCGAATGTAGCACGTGTAAATTGTGAGGAGATCTTCCACAGGGGCGCGATAACGCTTTAGGGCCCGAATAATGTAGAATTTTCGCGATGCCCTTCCTGTGATATCACGAACGTGGCTGTC